GCAATGAACATTTGATTATTTTATAAATCGAAAAGTGTAAAATGAATGTGCATATCTCGTATGTATGATTGTAGTTAATGTAGCCCACAGGGATATTTGACGTATAAAAAATACATAAAATATTGTAACTCGTCTTGTATATTCGCATTTTGTTGTTTTCTCTGTAAACATCTGCTTAGGTTACTTATTATCGACTAGTCTAATCGTTAAATTTATATTCATCAACGCGTTATCAATTTTTTCAATTTTTGGCCTATGATAATCGACAAAATTGGTCCAATATTGTAGATTATACTATGTAAAGCTTATCCCTTGAATAGTGTGTAAAAATATAGTAAACAGACTTATAAAGTAGACGATTTTCGTTCTTATCAATATTGTATTGTAAATAAAGAATATTATCTAATACTTGCCATGTCAAAGCAAACCTTTATCCAACAAATTGAGTCAAAAACTTTATTTTTTGTTTAATTAGGAAAACACAAACTAATATTGGATAGTTGTTTAAATCCACACACATATATATATGCATGTATTTGTAGAATAAAGACAATTACAAATCAAGTTTATGTACTATATAACCGAAAACTAACCAATCAACATTAAGGAAATTCATGGTGATTTCCTTAAGTACAATGAAAACTTCACATAAAAATTATCCTGTTCAGAGAACATAACACATACTCGTTCTGAGCCATAAGTATTTTCTATCGTCTCAAATTAATGGTTCATTTGTGCGATTCATAATTTCGATTGACCTTTCATTGTAACGCTTACTATACATTTTCCCATGATACTCTCAGGTTTTTCTCAGTACTCTATTGTTATCAGTCGTATTTCAATGAATACCATAATTTACTTTCGGCTTGTTTAGAATTACGGTACTAAATATTAAATTATAGTTTTCGGTCTAAGATTAGTATTATATTTGATGGTTAATTTCATTAGGAATGGTTTGCTGTTGGAAAATAGAAAACATCAGACAATTGTTTTTTTCTTGTCCTAGACTCCTCAACATTAAAAATTGACTATTAACCTATTTCCTACAGACATTGTAATTGTTATTTTTTATTCTATACAGTTCAAATCAGATTTACGTTAGAATAAACTGTTCTCACTCAAATTGTTTTATATTTTTATTTTTAATAAAAACAGGCTCATATTACAACTGTTATTTTATATATATATATAAAATTGTAATTTCCTTTATGGAAAATTGCCGCGTTGCAGATATACATCATTCTATGATTTTTAATTAATCTTTAGCTAATATCAGCTTATCTCAAAAATCATTCACTTCAAACGTAGTATTTCATTTATTCGTTTTTGTTGATATCATATTTATTGACTGACACGTTAAGAACAGTTGTTTGGTTTGTGTATATTGCTGAATTTCGTTGTTTACATTACGTACTAACCTTATTTAGGCAATCACTAAAAATTGAGCAGCTATAGGCAATATGGTGGCGGCTTGTTTGAATAACTGGGCTACCTGTTCCCGTCATCTAGATATTTAAACAAGTTTTCTGTTTTTTTGTTTTAATAAATCATTATGTTATTAATCGCATCACCTATTCAGGTGCGTTTATCTTAAGTTTACGACCTTTCGCTTTACATGTTACAAAAAGTACATTTGGCAACGTAGGGGTGGAAATATGCATCAAATAGAATGAACATTATTCAGATGTCGATTCCTGAAGGACTAACATTTAACTGACGATCACTCAATATTTATCATCAGGATCGAGCAAGAAATAAGGAACGCAAACTTGTGGAAATACTTAGCGTTGAAAGTTCTATATCGTACCAAAAATATAATATTGAATAAAGCCTAACATTAAAATCACTGAGTTGGCAATCGATAGATTACACTTTTTACCTTGGATAAATTTGTGATGTTTCACACCCATTTCAATAGGTGATTACCTCATACGCGACGTATCTTCATAACATACATAAAACAAAAATGCTTTAATATATATCTACCTACCTTTGTGTTTTTCAAACTTGCACTTCATCTTCATTTGTTCATTATGTGTGAGACCATAAAATGCTAAAAACCAATCTGTATTCCACTTAAAGTCAACTGTCGGATTTTGATCCAATATTTATAACACAATTATTATTGTAATGAAATAATGATATGTTTGTGATATTCCAATGAGTAGAAATTTGGATTTCTAACGCTTCATGACGTGATGGAATTCACTTCTTCAGAGTAAATAAGTAAATAACCAAATGAAATGAATACCAGTTTAAAAAGATTAAAGAAACAAGGTGGAATAATCGTTTCAATCACAGTAGGTCTGATTATGTCAATGTCATGTGGATCTTTTTTAGTCAAGTTGATTCTGTATGAGACACCAATATATTTCGTAGTATGAGTGTGTATGAAAAATTTGTAATTTGTCATATAAATGAATAGACTTGAGATCTGAGTGTATGTAGATTGTGTGGGAAGTGAACAGCTTTATGTGGTTGTTTGGATAAACACTTCAAGTTAAAGAAATAGCTTGGCCTATATGGGGTATAGTGATTTAGCATCATATGAAACGCTTCACCTACTCGCCTCCTTTTATAGTTGGAAAAGGCTTTCTGAATTGTTTTCATATTTCTTAAATATCTATTTGGTGGTTATTGAAAATATTACGTACTGGTATTGGCGATTTGGTTTGTAGATTTTCCAAATCTACAGGCTTATGATATCGTTTTGTGTAACTTAAATGTTCACTGGCATGTGTCGAGATTTCAGGGCAAGACTTTCCAAAATAGATTGCATCACAATCGACACAATCTAGTCCGTAGACACAATTCTGTGTGGATGTTGACGCAATCTTATCATTAATTTTAACTAAAGCATTTCTAAGTGTATTGGTTGTGTCATAGGAAGCTTTAATTTTGTATGTTTTCTAGATGCGTACCTTGTCAGTAAGGTAAAACTTGACAGCATTCCAATATATTTCATTAGAATTGTTATTTAAAGATGGATTGTTTCTTTTTAATATGCTTTTAGCAATATTCATAGGACTATTTTTAGGTTATACTATGTTTTTTATACTATTTTTTAACACTGCATTACGTTTTTATGAGCTGCTAAAAAATTCACAAATCTGACACCCCATCAAGGCCCATAGTGGATTTCACAAGTACCCTTCTATCTAAATATCTAAGCGGTATACCGAGGCCACTTCAAAACGATTTACATAATGTTATTAAATATTCATATGAGTTATTTTATTATTAACTTTTTACCCAATGCTCAATTTGTTTGAAATTATCAAATCAAACTTTGGCAATGATACCAATTATTTTATTATTATTATTATTATTATTATTATGCCAAATAGTTCAAATGGGAATTGAAAATGTGTTTTTAGAAAATTAAATTAACTTTTATATTGGATGTTTTCAAAGGAAATAAACGAACAAGGAATTCATTAAATGTAGAATACTTCGATTGAGAAGTAAAAAAAATATCTCTAACCTAATCTTAATATCCTCCACTGTTTTTCTAATGTCTCCACACTGTTTTATTCAAAATTGATCTGAACTTTAGAAATTATTTTTTCTATGGGATCGTATCAATGATGTAATCTAAAAGTTGATTTTTCACAAAAAATAAAGTTTTATTCTTTTTTTCCTTGTGCTTCGTTTCTTTTCTTTTTCTCTTTATTTCTCTTCATTTGACATATTCAGAAATGCGCGTGCAGTAAAATTTAGGTCATAAAAATAACTAAAACTTTGTTTTAATTAATTTTGACTATTGTCGTAACTGTTTATTTCCCAAATATATTTGCCTTAACCTAACTATAAGCATGTATTGTTTGTTCTGTGTCAGGTGTTTTGAATTTTGGTTTAGAAGGAATTTTTAATTTGTCTGATTTATTGTCTCAATCGTGTCTTCTAAAGTGAAACTCTATTGGTAAGTGAATAAAAGCGCGAAGTGAAAGTCGAGATTTTCTAACATATCTATAATTATTCATTATGTAAGGATATTTTAAAGTTTGCATCACGGATTGACCTTAGTTTGTTATTCATTGTAAATCAGTGATTGCTAAATAGTTGTTTTGTTCTATTATGATACTCAACAAGAGTGCGCATCTACGACCCTACAAACGATTGAACCTAGAACCTCCAGGTTTCGTTGTATTCTCTCAACATTTAGTCACGTTTGTGACTTCAGTCAGTTAGTGGTATTACTGGACCATATAATTCTATTTATGACTAACTGTCTCTCATCCAAGATTGTTAAGATCTATTTGTCACGACTTTTCACTAAAACTCTCAGAATCGCCTCTCAAAATCAGTCACTAGCGAGTGCATGAAAATTGTCAGTGTATGGAGAATATATACATATATAATCAGTAAAATATAATTAACGCTAATAAAATCATTAAGATAACACTTGTTTTTATTTAGTGAATAATTGACCCATGTATTCTATGATTTCAACAACCTCCGATTTCTTAAAATTATCATACTGTATTTTCACTGCTTTGTATGTATCCCTAAAGGATTCATTTTGAATTTCAATTAATATATTTTATCCGAAAAGTTAAGATCTTTAGTTTTAGTTACAATTTCTGATGTATGAATCGTCACCAATTAAAGTTTACAGATACTAATTAATTAATTGTTTACCAATTTGTATTGTCATTGGTTCATAATGATTTTACAATGTTAATGAGCGTATTTATTGTTCAACAGTGCTTTGGTCTGTTCACATACTAAAGATAATAATTTGAAAGTCACTTTTAAAAATATTCAATATAGCAGTGGATAGTGGTTCCGGAATATTTTATCTGATTGTATTGTGTAGGAAATGAAAACCAACTGTTGACAATGTTAAAAATCTTTAAACACGTTATTTATTTGAAGAATATCATAGTTTTTACCTTAGGTTACTCCCTCATATCTCTCAACTCCCCCAAGGTTGTCTTACAACATATATGTTACGTTTTATTTAATTCTTATATATATTTTTTAAAATTATTTTTTAGGTAAGATAAAATATACAGAAGAAGTTTATGAAGCCTGTATGGAAGCATTCGATTGTTTACCGTTGGCAGCTTTAATGAATCAACAGTTTTTGTGTGTTCATGGTGGTCTTTCTCCGGAAATTCATACTTTGGATGATATACGTCGTGTAAGTTTGCATTTTATTGTCAACTCTTGTTCAATATTATTATCGTATATCATTTTGAAGTTAATCAATTTTTTAAAATATTTATATGATTGACCAACAAATTTCTGTCATGATAAAGAGCTCTTAAGGTAAAGATATAAATATTTTATAATTTCGCCACCTCAGATACTTAGTCAAAATGTTAGATGGTATCATTGGCTAGCTTTATTCTGTTATTTCAGCTTACTGCTCAGTATATTTTAATATTTGAGGTTTTTACCTGTTTAATGTCTTGGCTTTTTAGACTGCTTAGTTTAGCTTGCTTTTTTGAGAGGTTCTACTTTACTTTGAAGTTTCAGGGGATCATGTTTATTCATGGTAATAGGTCTGTTTATAGATGTCTGAAGGTCTTGTAAAATCTACAGTTCTTGGAAAAAAATAAGTTCTTAGATTCTATTTTGGAGGAAACATGATGTGTATTGTACTCTCTTGGGTTTAGTGGTTTTAAACCATTACTTTCATGATATTTCAGATAAAAACGCCGACTTATGTACCTTTTATGGTGAAAGTATCGTGCACCCTCAATTATTCGATTATTTTAACGCTAAGTCTGCATATTTACAAATATCAACCATATCAGAAGTAACCTCCGTTTTACTCATATCTGACTGCACATTTTAATTATAAATTAAATACATGAATTTAATGCTACAGGTAGTTTATATGATTCACATATTCATCTATACTTCAATATAAAGTAATATTTATATGCATAGATGAAAATTACGAAAGTAATAAATGGAGTTAATGAGTCCATTATAACTTGAAACTAGATTACATTATTTAACCTAATAAGTAAAAATGTATGAATTGCTTGGTATACTAGTAGTGATCAGAATAATAACAACTTGTATAGGCGTTCGAATATAGGAAGTTTGTTAGAACTTTAGAACATAAACATTAAAGTTACAATTATCATTGATGTTTAGGACTGCTATTGATCAGCCTCTTATTGACATATGCGCATACTGTGCGTATTGCCTCGATATAGCCTTAATTCACAAGGACTATTTGCAAAGATGGATAGTGGCTAGCAGTCGAATCTAGGACGCACGTTTCGTCCTATTTGGGACTCGTCAGCGGGATGTACTCCACCTCAGAGGTGATGTTCACTCTGGGGCTCGAACTCAGTACCGTTCGCTTCAAACGCCATCGAGTTATCTGCTTAGCTGCTGAGTCCTGATAGCCACTTGCTTGTGCAATGGGGTGAATTTTAGATTCACTTGGTATTGTTTGTTTGAATTAACGCTATATCGAGGTAATACGCACATTATGTAGGAGATGAGATTGATCTTCCTTGGAAAATAATAGTTTACCGTAAATTACGCGAAATGATTCAGTTTTATCTACTATATGACCATTGTCTACCAAGTGTAATGAAATAGAGCTACGTATTATCTTTGTTCGACCTTTTACAACATAATCTGATGAGGATCTAATTGAAGACAGTATTGTTTACTTTTATGATTTGTTCTTATTTACATCATGGGAAATTTCAGTATTTTAAGTTGTAATGTTTCCAAAAATATTTTAATCAGAATCAACCAAACGGAATTTTTTAACCCGCGCCCGCACCATTGAATCAAGCACCACAAAACTGATTTCACAACGATACACCGAAAATGTATAAACACCCAAGCATTTTTCCCTGTACCATCCTCAGTTGGAGTGGGAAATAAACCTTTTGTTTTCTTTTGTCTTCTTATCTTCTTGGGTGCTGGGTCAAAAGTTATTTGGGTCATAGTGTAAGTTCATTTAAAAAATATTTGTGTGAGTTCACTAATTGCGTTAAGCTTTGTATTACTATTGGGTTGATATTTCGAATTACTCAGCTAACGCTGAGTCATCACACTTTTTTAGGATAAAATTTGAATTCAGTCTAATAATGTGAAAAAAGACATAAATCTCTGACTACTGGGTGATAGTCGTTTTTATATTGTCTCATGATCACCTTTCGGCTATTGTTACTCAACTTAGTATCTCGACAGTATGATGTAAATTATCTGATCGTAGGTAATTGGTGACTGAGAGCAATAAACCTCTAAGTAACGTCCCATGTTTTTAGTTTATACTAATATTTCCGAAGTCATTTTGGCTTACTTGTCTAATTAAATGACCCTTAATCACAAAGTCTCCATTTCGAGTTCGGTAACATTAAGTTCAGTTAAAGTGGTAGAATATATATGGATATAGGCATCATGTCATCCGTCTCCAAGTAAGCTAAGTACTTGACTACAGAATTGGATAAGTTTAGTGGCTATGACATCGACTACAGGAAAGCGTCGAAAACCTTGTACTTTACTCAATTGCTTTCGACAACATAACAAGATGAAGGCTGATATCACCACATAAAATTGGTTGTTTACCATAGTACCGCTTCCTAGTTTATTTCTAACTCAATGATATATATATATATATATATATATATATATATATATATATATATTCTATAATATGTAGAAGACTTTAAGTGATTTTCTCTTCCACTTAGAAATGTATGATGAAATAGATCCTGGTAAATAATTTATGAAACTTAAGCTTAATTGATAAAGATCATATGTTACGAAAAGACATATTTGGATGTTAATAGCATTTGGAGAATTTATTTTTTTACTATACTAACTTTTCAGACTTATTATTATTTTTCTAATGGAATATGTACACAGTCTGTAAGATGTAAAAACAAAAATTCTTGGATTGATCCAAGGCAAATATTTCTCCCTATAATGTACATTTGTTGCCGGAAATTTTTTTTCTCTCGAGGCATGTAGAATGAATCTTTCATCATATAACTATGATTGAATATGTTTATGTTAAATTAATCTTGTAATTATAACTTTTGAAAATGTCTGATTGTAATAGGTCTGAATTTGTTGGTACGGTTTGTTCAAGTATTATGCAACAATATTTATAAGATTATGCACTTGAACTCTAAAGTTCTATTAACCAAGTACACTTACAAGTTTCTGGCAGTTGTTTGTTCATATTTACTCATAAAATAAAATGTCATTATTAGATGCTTCCTTTTTAGTTGTAAGATAAGAGTAGGGTTTATAGGATTCTTGTTCTTGTCAATTTAGTCTACAACTTCTATATGTTTCGAAAAAATTGCATGCACTTATAAGTTGTCAAGATTTGAACAGTTTCACGGGAATTCAGGATCGAGTATTTAGAAAATAACGAACAAATCATGAAAACCTCAATGATTTGAGTCTATTAGTTTCAACCCCCTGTTCAGTTCTTTTGTTCAGTCGTTTTTAGGAAGATATTTAACATCGGAATTATCAATGATAAATAAAACCGAAAGGGAACACTACGCTAAACAATTATCTATTTCAATAGTTGAGACCATGAATCAATTGAAGCTAGACCACCATGGAAAACCTGGGTTCGAATCCCGCGCGGCGGGGTCGTGAATGTGCACTGCTGAGGAGTCCTACAATAGAACGAAACGGCCGTCCAGTGCTTCCAGGTTTTCCATGGTGGTCTAGCTTTAATTGACTCATGATCTCAACTATTGAAATTACTAAAATCTCCACAAAACCCCTTCTGATAATTATCTATTTAATCATATGATAACTCTGATACATATGATAATGTGAATGTGAATAAAGTCGCGAAGTACAATGGTGATTATGTATACCTATGTTATTTCTTCCTTTTCTTCTTCATATTATTATTATTATTATTATTATTACTATTATTATTATTACTATTATTATTATTATTATTATTATTATTATTATTATTATTATTATTATTATTATTATTATTATTATTATTATTATGAACATATATGACCTGAGGCTTTGACTGGGGACGCACTAGCCATTCTGGTTATTAGAAAATTAACAGTTGGTCGAGATATAGTGAACTTGTCAAGGCATATGTTGTGTTTTAATTTGTTTATCAATAAAAAAATTTACTCACTAATTAAGAGTGAATTGTTCACCACGGCTGTCGATGCTCAGTGTACAAATGAACATGACGATTAAATGTGGTATTAAATTCTAGTACATCTCAGACTATTTGGATATCTATTTGTTTCAGTCTTGCTTGTCAATAATGGCTTTTCTTCATAGACAAAACATTTTTAAACAGTTCTGAGTTTGTGTAACACAGTTCGATATAAAGGTTCCAAAGGATAGAATTCTATCTTTTAAGCCTTATATGTTCTTCCAGCAATTTGAGAATGTACTTTAACGTTATAATCATTTATTTGAATCTTTGATGTTTTCTTAAATTTAATTTTATATTCAAGTTAGTTGTGTAGTTGTGAGTAGTTTTAGTAGCGTATGTACATTTCCAGGTTTTGCTTCCATATTATTAAATATTACAGAAAAGATAATGAGATAGCCTTTATCGATTTCACTATTCATGGGACTGTGATCCTAGAAATAATTGAATTCTATATAAGCACCTATTTTTCCACTAATTATGTAGTTTAAATGCTCTTTAAGAAATATGTATGTTGAAAAAGGTTTTAGTTGGTTGAAGAGTAGGTGGTGTATAGGTTAAGTGTCCACGTATTTGTCCTAAGTTTCTTAGTTTAATCTTAGGTAGGATCGTGGATGCTAAATGCCGAAGAGTCATGCCAGGACGAAGCAACTGCCCAGCGTTTTTTGATTTTCGGTGGTTTTCTAGCTAGGATCAGCTCGTTATTTAAGCTACCAACATTGATTTCCTTCAATCGCTCACAGTATTTCATGTTCGATTTTCTGTTAATATTTTGTTTAACCATGGTGTTTTCATAAAATCCAATCTTTTTCTGGCTAGTATTTTTGTCTTCGATCCCAATTCATTTGAATGTTAAAGTCAACAACTCGATCTCGTACAGAGCCATCAATCTACGTCATTGTATTCATGACATATCATCTGTTGGTCAGCATACTATTCATTCATTGTAGTAGTCGAGAGTTCCTGCATAAAAACATGAGATTTTTTATCTGTAACAATTTGTGCATAATAGTATACACTGTTGTTGCACACAAATACGTTGTTATGAATGAGAGCTTATACACAAGATAAACTCTGTACTTGGACTATATATATACGTCATTTCATTGTTGTTGATTTTCGATCCCTAAAAATCATTATTATTATTATTATCATTATTATTATTATTATTATTATTATTATTATTATTATTATTATTATTATTATTATTAATTGGATTAGGATTATGTCGTAATATTATCAGGTAGAAATGTTTTACGCGCATTGTATCAATTTTATTTCAAAACTGCTTGCCTCATTCGATGTTGACAGCATTCTGATGTATAAATATATGGATAAAAATGATTCATCGTCCACCATTTTTAAATAACTTTCCGTTCACAACATTCAAACACATACTTGAAAACAAATAGTTAATCTATTTTTCTAGTATTTGTAACTAGAAGAGAATGGTGAGTAGCGAGATTCATTCTAATCTAGGTACAGAAGGAAGTTAACTAATTCAAATGATTGATAAAGGAGATTTAGATTCTGATTTTTCTCTACATTATCTATTTATACTTACTCAGGGAAAGAGTGAAATTATAACAAAGTCAGTAAAGTAAAATATATTGTCCGTACATATGTTGCAAATTAATTTTCAATTTTAACAAATGATCTATGTAGAGTTCTCTTACCAAAAATATAACCATTTTTCTCATGTTATAGAATTGATAATTACCTTTATTGTTATATTTGTTTTGTCACCTTGAGCAGTTATTTACTTCCTCGTGTTTATTTGTCGTCTGCTGACCTCCTCCTTTGTTAATTAAAATGGTTATTCATTCATAATTATTGTTGTTATTGACAGTTGATATATTTGTTTCCATGTAAATATGTTGTGTCGTCATAGGAACATCAGTAAAGCACTGTTTTTATTAAACTGTTTTTAGTCATTAACTTTTGACATTAACTAGGCAACAGCCTTGCGAAACTAATGAGATCATTCTACATTTTGTTTTGTTCTTACTTCTTCGATCTGTCCAACAGTGCTCATTGGTACTCTTGTTTGGGATTGTGAGCTCTAAATTCCTAAAATTTCATGGCATAAAAGGTTCATTTTTTTAATCCACAGATTTGATTTACCGATGGTCAATATTTATAAATTTATATTAATTCGGTACCTCATAATTATTTACACTATTGTTTCTATGTAATTGTAAAACATTCAAGAAACATTGTATGTTTTATGTGTTTTTTTATTGCAAAGAAAGTCCATAGTTTATGTGTAAGAGTTTGAATTACCTTGTTTTTTATATGTAGGACTTCCATCGATTGGTCTATCACTATTTGTACTACATTCTGAGCAATTCACCTCGATTTAGCACTATGTTATAGGTTTCTCAGTATATGTGGTATGTATCCAGCAATGGAAGCATTTAAAGCGAAAGGTATTGGGTTTGAGTTTAGTTGTAAATATCAACACACTTGAATCAGGGAATCCAGCTGATGAGTCATAGATTAGATGATATATTCATCTTGGGTTCCATTATTAGCCACATACCAAAGTTACTAAAAGCATATTACTGTTAGAATGTCTGACTTTAAAAACTATATATATATATATATATATATATATATATATATATATATATATATATATATATATTCATATTTATTCAGTTGTTTAGAATTATAAATATTTAATGGTACAAGCTTGGTTTTGTTTAAACTAATACACATATTTCGTCATTGTATATATATGATAAACGATGAACCATATAAATAATAAATCAAGCATATATAATAGGAAGGCTAATTGAAAACGTCAAACCATACATGTAGCAGCATAAAGTCAAGTATAATGCAGCATATATTTCACATAATGATTGTTACTTGTAAACAATTTAACATAACGCATTTGTTTCATTGAAATTGACTGTAGTGAAAAATTCGGTAGAGATTAATAATTTCAACGTTATTTTTAGATAATATGTGAAATTTTATGCCAAAGACACTTTCTTTCTCTACTTCTTGTTTCACTGACGGATAGTTAAAAAGTTTTCTTTCGCAGTTTGTCAGTGTTTTTCCTTTGTATTTTTGACTGACCTCTTCACTCAATTTTTTTTATTGAATTGCTAGGAACAGTCATAGATCGGAGTTACTAGTCATACGTTGGGTTAATTTTATTGTTCTTAAAACACTTACGATACGCTGCATCACTAATATGTATTCCAAAGTTACCAATATTTCATTTTCTTTGACAGATTGATCGATACAGAGAGCCTCCTGCGTTCGGTTCAATGTGTGACCTTTTATGGTCTGATCCGTTAGAAGATTTCGGGAGTGAAAAATCATTAGATCATTTCTCTCATAATTGTGTTAGAGGTTGTTCTTTCTTTTTCAGGTAAGCTTAACTTATTATCATTTTTTTTGTTTACTGGTTAAATTTGTTTTAAAGCTGTATTTTTTTTCAATTTTAATTAAAAGTTTGACGAATGTTGTCTATTCGGTTGTTTTTTCTCTCATTCAATCATCTTAATTATTTTGTTATTTAATCTCATGAATAAAGTTTACCTACATCGAACAGATATCTGTTTGCTATCGCTATTCAGTTTTGAAAAAATCATCTTTGTGTTTGCAATTGGAGTAATTCGAGTTGTATCTACAATACGTATTATGTTCGGTATACGGATTCTATTCTTCCAATGAATCTTGAACCAAAAAATCGAAATTCTGACCTAGTTATTCATATATGCTTGTTGTAAATAGTCAGCAGTATAAACAACTTGATGTTGGTCTTTCATGTACATTTTGAATGTTAATCGTCTTGTTACGACTATATTTTCTGTTATTGATTAATTAATAGAAGTTTCTTGAACTGTCTGCATAATTTTGCCATGAATTTGTAAAAAGTTTTTTTAACCTAAGATGTCAAAATTGTCAAGATTAAAGCAACATCATATCATTGGTTATTATATGGGAATCACACTAAACACTTATTAATGCTGTGTATATGTAGCGCGTTGGATTTAACTTTGTCGTTTGTACTAGTCGTTTTCTTGATTAGGATTGGAGTCATGAATTTATACAACTGAGAAAAATGAACTACACAGTACCCTCTAATTTTCAACGTTTCTCTTATGAAGCAGTGATATAGCGGTTAAAGCCCTCTGTTTTCGATTAACAAATACCAACTTCGATCCTCTCTCCACGTACTTCTGTTTACGCATCTATACGATATCAGTAGCCTTGATATAAACACTATGGTTCGAAACCAAGTACAATGTTTCTTTAGTTGACTCAATGTTTTGAAAACTGCATTTAAAAAGATCTACAAAATGCCTTAACCTAACAGTGTTGTGTCAAAATATGTTTTTTTCAGTCCATGCTCGAAAATTAAAAAAAAGATTATTTTCTTCAGTGAATACATCTTTAATTTCTGTTCAATTACTTAATACTATCGGGTGCAAGCTGACGATTTTTCTGTGTGTCTGATAATCAATTCATAATTTATTCTATTTTGTAAAGAGGTAGTCTCATTGTATGTTAAATCAAGTAACATTTATGTTTCTTAGAGTAGTAAAATGGTAGATTCTTAAGTAAATGTTTATAAACATAAGTCAAAGTAAAATTTGGTGTTTTACACCCACCAGGTACTTTATGACAAACAATTATGAGTTGTCTATAATGTTAGTAAAACTGTAATGACATCTCTTTTCAAATATTATATGGTAGACTCATATAAGTATTTTTGAATCCTATATTTAACTGAAATTTTTTTAGGTTATATATTGCTTATATGCAAGTAACTACTGTATGTCATGTCATAATATCATGCAGACTAAATTTTAATTGGTCAGGTTTGGTAGTAATCAGATGCTGAAATGTCACCTATACTTCAAGTCACTAAACGAATGATGTTGGTACGATATGTAATAATCATATAGACTACATCGATTGTGAGACAGTCACGCGCCAATGATATCATATGATTTTTATTTTATATCGTGAATTGACTAATAATAGAAAATAATGGATCAATTGATTCAGACTTGTCTAAAGGTAACATGCTCTTCGAAAAATTTGAATTTCCTTAATTTGATGATTGTTAGTGTTATATACGCACCATGCTTATTATTAACCCAAACTAGGATGGGAAAGCTGTTGTTCGGTGTTCGTTCTTTTCCAGTGATTTCTCAGTTCGTATCTTTTTGCGATGAAGTTATCTCCAGAATATTTTCTGATTCTCCAACCTAACTCTTTCGAACTTAAATTTTAATTCTCAATTCATCGATCCATTGTTTGATTCTGTCTTAATGTAATGTATGAAGGAGTTTAATTACTATTGACATCTATTTTTGTGTTCGTATTCTCCCGTTGTTGATTAAAACGACTGCTATTGATCAGTCTCTTTTGCGTATTTCCACTGCAAGCTGATCAGCTCGTTATTGTCGTTTAGTTAGAAATTTCTAATAAAGATGGACAAAGTTTAGTAATGGAATCCTCACTTTTAGCACAGGAGTCCCTTGTACATCCAGCCGCCACATTCCAGATGCAATTAAATAAGCATGATCTGAACCTACACATGTGCTTCAGAATGAACAGCAATCTTCTGCCGAGCCTCCCAAACAATGACTGATGGGAATGTGGTTTGTTTTTATACGTTGAGTCGATTGTGGGTGTCGTCATGCCAGATGATATCTTTCATTGTGCCTAAAGTTGGTACTTTCCCGAAACAGACAGTTATACAAACATAGTTGCACCAGGCTGTTGCAATTTTCTGATCGCTGAGCCGCAATACCCTATGATCCACCCAAATGTCTTTCAGTTTAGTTTAGCCTATCTAGTTTGGCATCAGAATCACCCGCCACCATTACTACATATGAGCGTGTAGCTTTTTGAAGGAATTTTGAAAGTTTCAAATTCATGTTTTGCTTAATTGAAACTGCAATCAATCGGAGCGTAGGCAGGGACAACGAAGAGGCAACAGCTTGTTTCTCTATCTTTCTGAGTTCTTAAAGTCCTGTTTAGTCAGACAGCAGAGCACAAGAGAGTGTTTAAGGAGTATCCTAGAATTATAGTGAAAAGGCTTGGCTTGTGAAGTTCTACATCTTTCAACTAATCATTAACACTTAGTACTAAATCGCTTTTGTTCTTGTTATCATCGTTTCATTCACTAATGAATGTTTTTTTTTATGAGTAAAGTTAAATTCGATTTTCTTTAAAAACCGTTTTATTCATCTGATAATTTTAGTTAATAAGAAGTTATATCTTATTGATTAACATGTTTACCTTTCAAAACAGTTTATTTCGTTTACTTCCAACTTTTTCGTTCTTTTGGTTTCTTCGATTGTTTCAAATGGTTTCGCTCAAATCGACCTACCCTATAGTTATGATGCTTGCTGTGATTTCCTACAGACCAACAGTCTTCTCTCTATAATACGTGCACATGAAGCTCAAGATGCTGGGTTAGTCGAAAATTTTTGTCTTTTCTATATATATATATATATATATATATATATATATATATATATATATAATTCATGTATCTATCTATCTATCTTTAACGGAGTATATGTTTCATATTTGAACTATACATGCCATTTTTATTGACTTATTTCGACATTGTTTATCTTTATATACCCAGAAAAGTTCATTTCACGAGTAGTCCGGATTATTTTCTTGAACATTGACACTTGTATCTTTTCTATTTGATTATAAGTTAACTAACTTCAAGTTGATTTTCCTTCTCTTTTTATCTAACTTTTCTTTGAATGTAATGATAATTCGTGTATTTTAATTCGTTATTTTTAGCCTAATTTCATTATAGTGTGTTTATTGGTAACCTTCTTGTTTATTTCCCACTTGACGTTCATCAGTCTCAGTTGTTCTTTATTTCCCAAGTATGTTTGATTCCCCCGTAGTGCGCGTAGTCATTTTATAACTTATAATAGTATTGATTCAAAGCACACTTTTCTTTGCATTTTTTTATACGCCTTTATGTAATACTGATGGATATTTTAAACTCTATCGAAATAATTCATTAGTTAAATAAGTAATTATATGTGAGTTTGCAGTTATCATAAATCATTTGGAAAAATGAAAGTCGGTTTTTATCCTGCTTGAGGCCGATAGATAACAGTATGACAAATTGTAGTACGTCTTTAATCAAACTGTTAACCTTCACAATGCTATTATTATTAATATAACTACTACTACCACTCCGACAGGTAATATTATTTAGTATTGCTGTTTACATGAAGAAAATGTTAAACCTGTTACCCTTCCAGGCTGATAAGCCACGACCAGGAATCTTCAGTCATCTCTGTCCTGAGCTACACCTTCCGGTTGTTGTCTAGTTTTATTCACGATCTTGATACCTACCTTCAACTTTCGGCTCCATTTGTTCTTTGGTCTGCTTCGTTTCTGGTTGTCTTAAAGATTTGAATTTAGAACTTGCCTTGCGATGCATGGTATATCCTATCTAGCACCAGTATCTTTTCTTAATCTTCTCTTCAGCTGGTAACCAGTTTGTTCTTTGTCTGAGTAGGTTATAGCTTATAGTGTTTGACCGATGGATGTGGTGTATCTTGTGTATAAAGCTGTTTAAAAATGCATGTATTATTGGTTTGTATGCGACAGCTGAGCTCTGTGATCTCCAAGTCGAAATGATGCAGCTGAGTTGAAAATATCCACCGTATCCTGCGCTTCTCGTAAAGTGTGTAGGTCTTCATAATTCAACCGTCAGCTAACAGAAAGAGAAAATATGACAGCAGGTAGTCTTGTCTGATACCAGTCTCCACTTGGAATGCATCTGTCTGTGAGTTGGCCTCGATGCATCTCTTTGCAGTGTAGTATGCCGTAAGAATTCCATGTGATAATGACATTATTTCTAGGTACTCCATAGTATCGAGGACGGTTCTACTGGGTCCTCATATTCATGCTGTCAAATGCTTCCTCGTAGTCAAGGAAGCTGATGTACAGTGACCAGTTCCATTCAACTGACTGCTCAACAATGATCCATAGTGTCGTGGTTTGATCTGTACACAACCGATCCTTACAAGATCCAGCCTCTTCATTTCGAATTCGGGCGTCTATTAAATCTTTCATTCGGTTTAAAGATACTCTGTTGATAGCGTTGCGTGGCTCTCAACCACAACTATCTTCTTGTTTACCTCCGAGGATCATGGAAATGTTGTTTACGAAGGTCCATTGTGTTTCTTGAGGCACAACACACCTATCATTTTGAAGTTATTACTTCGTCAATTCCTTTCTAGTTGTTCTCTACAGTAGATTCCTCTGTTTTTTTTGGTAGATCACGTAAGGCTTGTAGCTTTTTGCTGAGATCTATCTTGGACTGAATGAGCTTGTTATAGTCTCGAAGGAAGGCTGCATTAAAGTCTCGTGATGCTAAATTTTCGATTGTCGAACTCTTCTTAAGCTTGGTTACCACCAGGTGGTGATCTGAATCTGCAACTCCTCCTCTCTTAGTTAATATATTTTTCATGGACCATCTGAATATTTTACTTTTGCGTGTGATCAATCTGCTTTTTCGCAGTGTGATTCGGTAAAACTCATGTAGCTTTGTGTATGAGTTTATGGGAGAAAATACTGTCTTCTATGACTTTTAAATCACAAAGATTCGCCAGTTTCTTCGCCAATTTTGTTTTTTGCTTCCTTGCCATCTTTTACCCGGGCTTATTACCGACAGTCGGTGGTGCTGCTTTGTGTTGCAAGTGTAGTGGTTATAAGATATGATGAAAAATGAGTTGATAAATTTTAGTTTTTGAAAATAGCAAAGTAGCCGAAACTTTAATGTTCAAGTAAAAGTCAATCGAAATGGATATTACATTTAAATCACGAACCAATCTAAGTGAGGCAACAATTGATAGCCTGCAAGTAGTGGATGGTTGTTTTTTTCCTGATATTATTCTTAGCAGTGGGCATTCATTCTAGTACAAAAGAACTGATCAGGTATTTAACGTTTGTTTAACTTTGATCGGTTTGTGAATGAAATAATACTCTGCAATCTCCACAACCCCATACTTCAAATTCATATTATTGTATGTAAAATTTCAGAGTTGATAACTTTGTTAAATAAGATAGCAACTAATTAACGTACACAATCTGTTATGAACGCTTATTAACTGAAACTACCAAGTAAAATGTAAATTTCAGCTTTTGCACATTGAGTAAAAGACTATACTAAGTTTTCATTTGTAATTCTTGATCTTAAGCAAAACTATATTTAATAAGATGATATGCAATTCAGAAATTGCTCAAATGAATTTCGTTGTTATTGTTGTAATAATTATACAACTTTTACAGACCGATTTTTACGTTTTCTCTCTATCTAAATGATAACAGTGCACAATTTTTTTATTTTGCTTTTCCGTGTGAACGTATGTTTAGTTATCGTATGTACCGAAAAAATCAAGCCACTAATTTTCCTTCACTCATCACCATATTTAGTGCCCCTAATTATCTTGATGTGTATAACAACAAAGGTGAGCTGGATTTAAATTATGTTTTCCACTACTATTTCCAGTATATTGTGTATTTGTATATACATAGTCTTTCATGGGAATAATTCAGGCGTTACTAGTCATAGTTTCGTATATGCCTTAACTGACTCATCCTCCATATTTTTGCTGAATAATTGGTTGCGAAATTATGATCGGATGAAAGAGTAAGCCAAATCTAATTTTCAGTATGGGATTGTGGAGATTCTTGAGATTTTGATTGATATCATAAATCGATCAATGTTGAACCATCGCTGGAAACCTGGAAGCACTGAACAGCCGTTATATCCTAGTATGGGACTCCTTAACAGTATGCATCCACGACTCCGCACGTGGGATTCGAACCTAGGACTTTCGTTCTCGCGCACGAACTAATAACCTAGAATCTCGTGTGCGGGGTCGTGATCTCAATGAAATCTAATTTGTCTTCTGTAAAATGTATATAGTTTGTCCATATCGTTTTGTCAGTTGACTAAATTTTATTTTAAAATCTAGCCTATAATTTAAACCGAAGCATTGGTTTGATAAAAATGTGATTCCAAACGTTAGTGGTTTGCCGTTTCCCTGCTTTATCATGTTTACTTTTTTGCCTTAACAATAATTTTTTTTGCATTATTCTATAGCTTATACTTTTTTACAGAAAATAGTTATTTGTTTGGCAGAATGGAGAACCTATTTAGCATGCTGTTTGCAATAGAATCCAGAGTGGTCATCTCGTTCTATTTGTAACTTGTTAGCTTTGAGATTTTAAAGTAAAATTAATGAGTCCGAGTTTCACTGTGAAAATCAACGTCAGTTTGGAAGTACATCTATTTGGGAGTCCAAAGTAGAATGAAACTTGCGTCCTGAATTCTATTGCTAGCCACTTACGGAATATACTGAGAAACCTATAACCTATTTCGAGACAATTTTCTCAGCTAAACATATGAGTTATAAAGACTGATCATTTTTAGTCCGTAACACCAACAACAGAAAACTAGAAACCATTATTAAAACATAATGTAGTTTGTAAATATCAGTTCATTAATGGATTGATGTTAGCTAAAGAACTATTATAAACTAAAGAGGCTGGTTTGTTCTTCAGAATTATGCTTTTCATCAGTTTATACCTATAAGCATCATTTCTCCGAATCCAATCTCAAATGGAAAATAAACACGACTGTTTGAAACTTGTTTGGTTTTTCATTAGTGCTCTATTTTTGGTATCAGTTCGTGATATAAGTGCCGTACAGGTTATTACCACAGTGGAAATTTTTATTTTCTTTCATATTTAAAACATTACCGGAGTTTCTTTTTAGTCAGCAAGTTTCAGTTTCACAATTCAAGCAATGAACTCCCATATCTCTGTATTTAGTTATCTCTTCATCTCATTCTTAATGAATCCAACCTATGAGTTACCCTATAGTTCATATAAATGACTCAGTCTATTTTTGCTTTGTCTAAACTATTATTATTATTAGTTTTGGGGGAATATATTGTCATACTACTGATAAAGTTTTTTGTATACATATTTATTCACCAGAATAAATTGTTATCATTATAGTTGTTGTTTTCCACTCATAACCTGATGGTGCTTAGATACTGTGAATACTTAGTACATACTTTTTTAGTACTGTATTTTGCTTAGATTGTTGTCCTTGTAAAAAACAAAATACAAACAGCACTTTTCTTTGTTTTAAATAGCTGCTATACTTAAATATGAAAATAATACAATGAATATACGACAATTTAATTGTTCACCTCATCCTTATTGGCTTCCAAACTTTATGGATGTTTTCACTTGGTCTTTACCGTTTGTTGGTGAAAAAGGTTAAGTTTTTAGTATAACATTCAAACTGTGTATATCACTGTAATTAATGTAATTATGTGCTGCTTTAATTGTTTTGATTTGTTAGGCTTTTTCTTTTCAACTTTCCATCTCCATTTCTTTTCCCACTATCTCGTTCTCTGCCTTCCTTCACAATAACTATAACTATTACTACTGAATAAAAAGGTAGGATATAAGCTGTGAAAAGAAGGAGTTAAGAGTAAGTATTCAGCTGAAAATAAAGATCCAAATCAACAAACTTTGATATTGATTTCATTTACTTTTTTGTTGTTGTATTTATCTACCCAAAAATGATCTCTGCTATAAGATGAAGTGTTGTTAATTCTGTTCCCAAAGAGAAAGATAGATAATCGTGTGTTATTAGCTTTTTAACAATCCGCTATTATTTTCATTTTCATTATGATTATTGGTATTGTGATGTTTTAATTGGTTTTCATTGTTTCTACTTCATTGAATTATCTCATTTGTTGTTAGTATCAATTGATACTTGTTTATGCCCATATGGTGGATGTTTATGTGTGCGTGTGTGTGTCTATTCATTATATACATGTACATTGACGTATTATTAAGTTGTGTTTAACATTATTTTAATTTTTTTTCTGCTTTTGAATAAAATATCTATCATATACCACATTGGTTGATGAGAAACAACCAATCAGCATTTAGGAAATCTTAATCAATGATTTTCTTAATGATTTCAATGTTAAACAAAAATGTTTTTCTGTTCTCTCTTAATTTTGTCATAAACAGATATTATATTTTAGTTGTATTGTTTTTTGCCAATAAATTTAATGTTTTTGTAGTTTTGTTATTAGGAGTTATGTCACGAATTATTTAAACGTGATAAATTCTGGTTGTAACACATAAGTATTTTTTTGCTCAAAGAATTTCTTATTTCTTTTCGCGGAGCCTCTGAATATTGAATTTAACTGCCAGATTATTGTGCCTAGATCGGAATATGATAACTTTTCACCACTCTAACATTTTTTAACTTAACATGATCACTACTCATTAGTGTATTAGTAGAGGAAAAAGATAAAATGGATTTTGGTGAAATGAACGATGTTTAATTCGTCTTATTATTATAACTCTTTTGACTGAATATTTGTGTTTCCTATTTTTATCCTCATTCTAACAAAAATTTCCTGAAAAAAAATTTGAAATCAAATATTTTCTGGCGACGTTTTTGTATTTACTGTTTAACTGTGCGAACGAAGTATTAAACTTTTTCTCCAGATTACTAGATTGTTTGCAAATTTTCAAAATATCTACACAATAATTGTGTAATTGTACTGATACTACTGATATACTGTTTATAAATTTGCTGACTTTCGTTTATGTTCTAAGGTTGGAGATTCCATGTCTAATCTGTGGTAATATTTCATAATTCTAGTCTGTTTATCCCATTACTCAAAACTATATTCGATTCTTCAAATGTACTTTAGTTGTCAATATAGATCACTGAATCCTAATTGGGTATTGTGCTTCTAATGAGACCTTGTTTAAATCCTTGATGGTCTCGTAAATTTTACTTCTCAGTAGTTATAACTTAGGATATAGGTGTCTACTAATTCTTGAATTTTGGTCATCCTTAAGCTGCAATCAGTTTATGGTGGATATTGTCTGCAACACATATATATCAAGCTACTTGATATATATATCCGCTTTTTGTATTACAATTAGTATTTCTCAGTTTTCTTTAGCTTAAGTTATTAAATATTTGTATGATATTAATTGCTATTTATTTGTGAAATTATTATAAAACTAGTTTATCTACTGTTTCCAATCAATATCTATGAAGCTAAAAATTAATTTTTTTCGAGACTTAACAGTTAATTCAACATCGTTTGGCATTCTAGACCACAACATTACTACTGTTACGTTTCTGCACTAAAAATTTAATATAGGTCATTCATTCATTAATTATAAGTTTATATGTTCGCCTTTGAGTCACAGTTTAGGTGTGAAAGCTAGTGGTTCTAGGTGGTTATCCAACATGAAGTTGATAAGACAGTGTTTGAATCCTCCCTCCAATCTAATAACTGAACCCCAAGTACTTTACCCACTAAATCATTTAGGGTAATAAAAGATACTGTGTTGTGATATTTTCTTTTGATTACATCACAGTGATAATTCTTGTATTACTGACTAATTTCTATATGTTATGTTCTTGTTTAACCTATTACTCCTATCGTTATTACTAGTAGTTATATTAATAGCTAGTAGTATATATTCTCCCAACCCATATACTAATTTTTGTTTTTATATATACTGATTTGTGTTACATTTTATTCATTTAGTCACAGAAATGCTTATGAATGTTTTAAGTATATGTTCTGATGATGAATTAATGAAAGAAGGTGATGACACGTTTGAAGGTATGCATAAAGCTTTTGTTTTACGTTGTTGTGTGAATAATTATATAATACTGATAAGATTAAGAATTTAGGTAAAACTTATATTTTGAAAATAGTTAATCGGTGATTTGTTACTTAGAAAAGATGTTGCAATCACAATTTTTCGCTCAAGAAGTAGTCCGAGTTGCCAATAGTAGTCGTTAGAGTTTGTTACCTATTAAGTTTCTACTTCATCTGTCTATTCATAAATATAGATTATTATTTAAGTAACACGATGCATCATCATTGATATCAATGCGTCAAGACTATATAGGTATAAATTTGGTTGAGAAATTTTCAGGCATTTAGGCTAGAAACCTCTGGGGCTTCTATAGCGTCCGTATACTCTTTACATTGATTTCATCCAACCATCTTATGGTAGTGGATACCTGTCGCGACAGTCAACGGGACTGTGGATGCATACGAGTGAAACACAGTTCTTGAAAACAGCTAATCACAATCGAATTCGCCCTGTGTATTGAAATTCCAAATAACATTCAATTTTATCTGAGGTCGACTCTAATCATTTGGTTTAGAATGATAATGAACGGTTACGAAACGTCAGAAATTTGATTTCTACTCATTGCGAAATTGAAAATATATAGTAGTAATAATATCACTATTATTATTATCATTACTATTATCATTATGAACAACCCATCCGTTGTTCAATTCATTTGTAAAATTATAAACCGTTGATTTCAAAGAATTCAATACCAACAGAAATAATATTTTTCCTGCAAAAATAGTTCATCGAATCTATTCATCAGAACCATTTGTTCCAAACCGCCCATATTCTCTCTGATTATTTTTTTCTTTTGTTGTTAGTTATATTCTGTTCTTTTGATCATTGGTTTGTTGTCAGTCGCTCTTGACAGATCCAAATTGTTTTTTTCTTGATACTGTTTAAATAGTACTATTAAGTGCTTACCATTATTTTATGCAATAAATCAATGATTCTATTATTTGTACTTCTACATTATTTTCCTTTAAAAAATAAGGTGGCACTGTAGCTGCTCGTAAAGAAGTGATTCGTAATAAAATACGTGCAATCGGTAAAATGGCTCGTACTTTCACAGTGCTAAGGTAAGCGTGTGCAGTGTTGAGTCACTGCTACTGAGATTCCACTAATTTTTCTAAATTATTTAGTGATCATAGGTATTATTAGATGTTCTTGTGCTCAATGTTACTTTTAAAAGATTTATACTAACATCATCTAACACTGAGCCTCAAACTGGAGTTTATTATTGACTTACGAAAAAGGTTTATAAGTAAAACTCAATTTGTATCTTCTAAACTCCAATATATTTCCTTTTTTCTTTTTTACTGATTATTAATACATTTGTTGCTTGATGTAGTAGTTCACTCATCCTTTTTTCAATGGTTAAAGGATTTCATTAGATTATTAGTCTGTAATTTCTTCATATCGTATAATTTCTTTATCGTTAAAACTGCATTTTTTAGATTTTCCATTATTTTGTTTACAAGGAAATTATCTTCACAATGATGATCATTTCTCAAAACTATAATTATTTGTGGATAATGTATCTTTAACTAATCAATAATTTCCGATAATAATTGTGCCGATTAATTGGTCATTGAGTTGTGGCTAATATTGTTCTCTAGTTCCTAGCACTGATCGAATTCTATCTATCCATTTGCAATGTACTCATTGATCTAAGTAGCTCGACATTGCACGCACTATACTTTGATGTTGACCAGTTAGAGGTAGTCGCAAGGAAACCCTAAACCTACATTTAGTGCTAGGTTAGAACAATTCACTAAGAGGTACGTGAAATTTTGTGTAGGCTAATGTTCACTGTCGAAATCGAGTCAGTGTCACCCAACTTTACAGCCTGAGACTACCTTAATGTCTCAGTGCTAGCGTCTCAGACAAGGAAGGTGCGAAATGCCGTTTCGAGTTCCACAAGTAGCATATGGTTTTTGAAGATTGCACAAGTGAACTTCTGACGAATGGCAATTACTGTGATACCTAAGTCATTTCAACTACTCCAAACTTCCTAACGTTATTACTTCTTTACTTTTTATTATTTGAATAGTTTAACTTCAGTTATCATCAAGTTTTATTTTGTATACTAATCCAATTAAAGTATAACTGTTAATTTCTGTCTAAACTGGCACAACTTTTTCTGTTTTTATTTAACATGTGGTTTCTATTTGATCAAAAATCTTATTATGCAGTCAAAATGGCATACTAGAGTATTGAATATATTGGTCGGTTGTTATTAAGATTTTGGCTGTACCTTTTTATCGTTTCACTGTTTCTTTTCACTTCACATATTTTCTCATGACAGTTATCTATCAGGAATGAACTTTTAATTTGTTATTCTTTTTAATCTGATTCTAGTGCATATTGTTTTTTTAAATCACTTTTTGGAAATTCTCGTTATTTATAGTAGATATTTTTCTCTTTGATTCAAACCAAACTTATGTTAGTAAAATTTAATCACGTGTTAATTGAAACTGTTGTCAGTGACGATTATAGAATAATGCAAGTTGACTGAATTTGAAACATTTGATCTATGAATGCTGATTCAGTAGTCTAAGACTAATGAACTCACTATGAGACCTTGATATCTTTGGCTTATTTTTGTAAGAGGGGTGTCGTAATTTTAAACCAGAACGAAGGGCTTTCTGCTTATCAATCCTTGTTTAACCTTCATTATAAATTATCTTTCACAGTTTATCAATTTGAACTAACTTTCCATCGTAATAATTATCCTGAATGATGCATTACTAGCTGAATGATTATCATCATTCTTTTGCTTTATATCAATAAAATTTTTATTATCGAGTAATCATGATGTTCATAGAATAAATGAAATCACCTTGTAAAGCGCATAGGTATTTATTTACTTAGTTTTTTTTCTTCACTAAATTACATATGGTGTAAATCAACCACTAAATTATAAACATCCATTAACCACAATTGTCATTGTGTGTTGATACTATGGTATATGATGAATACCACTGCTGGAGTGATGTGATGTTTTGAATGATTTATATGTTATCCACTTTTCAGTAGTATGTGTTCATGGAAACGAAGCATTTGTTTCAGAGAATGTTTTCAGTGAGGATTATTCAATTTCACTCGACTCTGTAGCTAGTTGAAAACAAGAAATATAGAATGTTTTATTTGTTAGCTATAGTGTCTTGCATAACAGTTTACCGAGGTTGTTATTTTTTAGCAGACAATTATAAAACCTATTTCTAACGAACTAAGTGTTTTTCTGATTGAAAGTATGAAAGTGGTTATTGGCCTGTAAGACATGACTGGCGTTTCTCCAGCATTTAGTCCAGTACGAAGCTGTGATCAATATTTCAGTCTGTTCGATTAAAACCTTATCCAAGCTTTAAAAATCGGCTCTTCACAATCTCAACTTATTCCGTCATATTACTCAACTTGTTTGAAATAATCTTTTAAGTGCAACGATTATTAACTATGTTGAATGTATATAACTTGTGTTCATAAGACTATTTGTGTAGTTCCATGATACATCTGTAAATATTATTAATACCTTCGTTGTTTTTTCCTTTTATTTCACTTCAGAGAAGAAAGTGAGTCTGTATTTGAACTGAAAGGCTTGACACCAAATGGGATGTTACCATTAGGTGCACTGTCTGGAGGAAAAGAATCATTAAATAAAGGTATGCTTATTTATTAAGTTCTCTAGTAACCAATATCTTTTAAACAATAGTTATTTGTTTATCCATGTTTACTTATGTTTTTGTGCTGGTGAATAATTTTACTTAAAATATTTTTTGTTTTTACTCTAAAATTGTTTAGCACTTTCTGGTGTTTCACCTAGAAATAAAATCATCTCTTTTGAGCAAGCGAAAGCATATGACCAGATTAATGAACGCATGCCTCCTAGAAGAGATAGTTCAGCATCAACTAGCACTGGTACTTCCGTTCGAACGTTTGGTTCCACATCTCGTCAAAGCGACAGAAGACCAGCACCTAATCCACCTGTTGTCACTCCTAACACTGTAGATTCCACTCAAGTCTCCAGTTATCGGCGTGTCAGCGCGAAAAGCAATACTAGCCGAACAACTGCTGATGAAAACGACACACATCGTTCATCAAGTTCTGGTGGTCTCCGGAATAGTAATGGTGAGACTGACATAAATTCCGTAACAAAATCGGCACATGCCACATTAAATTCGTATCCATCAATTTCACCTAATATTCGAGATACAAATCCTCGAATACCGGCTACTAGCTCTGATAATTCCACTAAAAAGTAATTGTTTTTATTTCATTTTGCTTTCAGTTCAAGTCGTATTTAAGTTTACTCCCCACCCAAAACCGTTTTTAATTCAGAACATTTAAATTTCAAGTCACACATAATTTTTTTCCATTATTTAGAACAAAATTGGACCATCTGCCTTTTAGTTTGTCCGCTTACTGTTTTCCTGTTTTTCCTCGTTCCCTCCGGATTTTCATCACTGATTATTGTTAATTTGCCAGATTTAATTCACGTTATTTTTCTCTACAATTGTCTTTCTTTTAAAATCTCTCTGTTTGTTGTTTACCTGCTTGTATTGAAATTAATTGGTGTTCACAAAGTTTTCATGTTTTTTTTTTGAATGCTCGATTGTGTCTAAAGGAAATCTGTAAAATACGATCTGAATGTGACAGGGAATATAGTAAAGAAACTGTTATGAATTCCTTATTTCTTGTAATAATATTCAGCTTATGTATATCATCCAAAATGTGTAAAAACGAAGACGAAAAATATTGAATATTACACTTTACTACTGAATTTGCTCACATATACTTGCTGTTCGATTTTTCTTGGGGTCGATGCGAAAGATTTACAATAATTTTACCCCACTAGTGTGTATATAATGATAAACTTGAAAAGTACACTATCGCTTTTGTTGATAGACATGCTTCCCTATGTCATATTCGTTGTTGTTTCTACTTATCCAGTTCCGTTTTGTCCTCAATTTAGTCGCTTAAATGATTTGTTGTATACACATACCATGTTGATACTCGAAAGGTTGTTTTCTTGAATAACAGAAACCAGTTTAGTCAAATAATATTGGAAAGAATTAGAGTTTAGTTCTTCTAATCTATCAGTCTCTTCATCCTCCTGTGTATTTATGTTTTTTTAAACAATAGCTGCTGGTTCATACTTTGTATTTTCCTCTGGTTTGTCCTCTTTTTTTGTGCTTTCTGAACTAATTTTTTTAATCTCTTAATGTATGCTTCACTGTGGAGAGTTTATTGTGTTATTTTAATCTTCATACCTGTTCATTGGTGTAACTAGATGTGTAGTGTTTGTTGTTGGATATTAAATTGTTTTCATAGTTCTCACCCTGGATTTATATTTCGTGTTTGATCTCGCTTATACAATCTTAATGATAATGATGATAGTAATATTGTTATTACTAAGTGCAACGTAATGACAAGAACTTTTTCTGTGTATTTTGATTAAATCTATAGTGATGTTATTTTTCCTCTGTTTACCAAATTTTCTAATTTCTCTTTTTATCCTATTCACATTGTCGATATCATGAAGATTATGTACCCCGATTATTGTACCTGTTATTTTTTGTGTGCTTTTCCACTAGAATGATCTCTCTCACTGTAGTCATTGATGAGATATTTTTCGCGTTTTCTAAGGTTTGATCAACAAACAACCATTGTGTACGTGTATGTATGAATTGGTTTTCCTCCTCCCTTATTCTTTAAGTTTTTCTTTGTTGATTTTACTTTATTCTCTGATTACTATTTTATTGGTTTACGTTTTATTTCCTCCTTTAGTTAACTCATTGTCATTTATTTTCACAAAGAAACGTATAAACTGCGCTTGTGAATTTTCGTTTTCCATACAAAACTGATAATCCATTATAACGTCCTGTCGAATACAGAGAGAAAGCAACATGTCGCTTTACATGATGATCTAAAGAGTGAACACAATCACTAGTTTTGTTGTTCTTCATCTTGTTTGTATGCTAATACGCTTCTTTTGTTTTGTTCTCTTTTGTGGTTGTTAGAACTGATGTTAGTATTCCTTTAATTTTGTACTTTTACAAGTTTGATTCATTAAAACAATAGAGTAATTCGTTTAGCAATAAATAGAGACTTTATTTCGAATTTCTTACTTCTCTTTCCAGAAAAAAGAAACATCAGTTAAGATTTACTTTGTTTGTATTTTCTATTTTTTACATTTTTGTGTGGGCAAAGTTTCCTTTTTTTTCTTATAATACAATATAACATAAATGAACCATAAAAGTCATCTACCAGACGGAGCATAGAATAACATCTTCCATCTTCGGTATTTACTATATGTTTTTCCCCACTTTTTAAAATTTATCATATGCTAATTCATTTCGATTCTTCCTATCGGTCTATTTAGATGCACTATCTACTCATCTTTCTGTTTTGTAGACAATAAAGTTCTTCAAGAGTATTAACTAAGTTTCAGTGTATTCCTTACTACGAAACAGTGATTTCTTCAATGTTATTCATCACTTCATGATATTCTAAAGTTAGTATGTTTCATTTTTTCCACTCTTCTCACTTCTTTTTTATCACACTGTATTTTGTCAATTTTATGAACCAAGTAATTAATTTTATTCTTAAGTGTGTTTTTCCTATAAATAATCGAAAATTCTAGAAAACAGAACTTGATGTAAAGATAAAAAAAGAAAATCAAACTTTCCATTTATCGATTGTTGATATTTGTTACCAAAAACGGTGATAATGCAGAGTAAAACAAATAATATCAAATTAATCTTACACGTTTTAATGTATGCGTGTATTAGTTTGTTCGTGTCTATTCCTTAATGAAAATGTTAATGAATTACCAAGTTTAATAACTGGAAATACGTCATTTCCCCTTTTATTCCAATTGTTTAATTAATAATATTGTTATGTTATGATTACTCCCTCTTCCCCATTCTGTATTCATTATTCATTTCTCTTTCATACATCCATTAATTTATTCGTGATATCGTGAATCAATATATTAGTATGATTGCGTCAAGAAAATACATTTTAATGGATGATCAATTAGATCAAGAGTGAAACAGACATTGTTTCTCATTTCACTTAACTAACAAATAATGTTTGTGCTTATTTTTTTTCATTTGATTCATTTTAATAAATAATCAGAAAAATAACAGCTGAAAATGAATTTAAACAGATATACTTTTATCTAAGTTGCCTTTTTGTGCTATTTTGCAGTGTGAACTCCTTGTTTAATTTTTTTTATGTGTGTTTCCTCCTTCCATTTTTGCTTGTTTATTTTCGTCGCCTGCATATACACGTGCATGTGATCGACTTCCGATATATGGTTTTGGTGACACTGTCTCATCATTTGACTCGTTGATTTTATTTTCAGAATTCACGAATGTACATTATTTGCTTTTCCTGATGAATGACCTAGTCTTTCTATTTTAAAGGCAACTAAAAATGAAGGGAGTTCTGACAAGTACTTCTTGTGTATTGAATAAAGTTCACCATCATATATGTTTACATTATGAAAGGTTGTCTGCAATTCTTTTTTCCTTAGTATTTCTGTATTTTTTTTCCTGTTCACAACACGTACAATGATGATTCTAATCAGTTTGTTTTATTTTAATTTTTAACTTGTTTTCCTATTTTTCATAAATGTTCTCTGGTGTGTGTATGTTTATGACATTCTTGTAATTTTTACTGTCGTTATAATTGCTAACATCATTATTAGCACTAATATGACACATTTGCTGATGACGATATAGACTGCTACCACTAATTGATACATCCAGGCTCTAATTTTATTCTGCGATATGGTGTTAATAAACTGTGGATTTGTGACTTATTTTTTACTATTTTCAATGTTACTTGAGATTATTATATATAAATATACTTACTGGTCTTCTGCTAATGACACACTTAATGATAAATAGACTTAATATGCAGTTTTTTGTGTTTGTTTTTAAGCAGTGCGTTCCATTTAACTGAAACTATCTGATTTTCTCTGAGGAATAGCTTATGAAATTTATTTACAAATATATTTCATTTAGACTACCGTTATAAATGTGCCAGATTTGTGAACCAGAGATCAGTGTTTGGGTTTTCTCGCACTCTGTATTTCTTATAGAATATCAACCTGTAAATTGCTAAAAGTCAGAGCTCACTGAACAAATAGTTTGTCTCTACATAAGGCGCCTGAGTGGTGAACATCCATGACTCCTTCAGTGATCGAACCCAGGTTTTACAGCAAGCATGCTGCCTTATATTGTTTATTTGAATTAAGTGATTCACATGTCAACCCAATTCACTAGATGTAGCGAGACGGCCACCAGTGGTTATCGCCTCACTCTCCCACATGGAAACACAATGCATAAGCCCCTCATACTAAGATAAAATATTGTTCAGTTCTTCCTAATTCCTAAACTGTTGTCTAAATGTTATTAAACGACTGAATTAATTTGATTCGATTTGAGGGTATAATTTTTGGGTCTGATAAAAATAGTATCATAACCAAATGACTTAATTTGATCATGTAATATCTAACAGTTGGTTCTTGTAATTGTATGAGAAAAATGTAATTCTGGTAAGATAACAATTATAATTTTCCTGGGATTAGGGCAGGATTGTTCAACATTGAACTACACTGAACATAAAGTGAACAAAAAGAAGTAACAAACACAAACTATAAATAAAATTCATGAAAAATAACGGAGATCGTAAAATTCACATGACAGAACCAAGTATTTCAGTGTCATCAACTCAAAGAGACAGTTTATCGTATTTATTCATTGAATGTCATGAACTGTCTGGCATTATCTTTGTCTAAAACTATTCAATTCATCAGGTTTGGGCTACTACCGCAATATATTTATTCCTATTTTAAGAACTTTGTTGATTCTCTTGCTCAGCTCATATAGGTATAAAATTGTTTCAGTTATGTATTATGTAATTAAGAAACAATAGATCACGTTCAATAGACAGAGCTTAACTGCTCATTGTGAAAAAGTGCGATTAATTAAAAAGTGGTGTCATTCAAATAGATTACGTAAATATTTACTGATATGTTTGTGTAGAGTTCAATGTTTACTAAAAAAATAATGGATTCAGTTGAATATGTTTAATAGAGGTTATTTATTAAGTATTTAGTCATCCTAGACTAGTCGAAGCTAAGGAAGAGCTCGGCAGCTGTTTCTTTCTAATATGGGACTTCAGCGATGCACACTCATGGTCTCCCCATTGATAGAAACTGGAATCTTAAGAATCGATGATGAAATCAAGG